CGCGTGCCAGGCCATCTTTTCGGTTGGCAAGCTTTCCATTTTGTCGTGACGCTGCGGTAGCATCGCGTTGTTCGAGATCGTTGAATCCTATTCTGGAACACGATCGATAGAATAACACGTTTATAAATATTACGAGTTTTACGTCGACAACTGATACGACGGATAGACGGATGATTGAATTTAAAATTTTTTTTTTTTTCGTAGATCGAAGACAACTCAGCGATTATTCGGTTGGAGTAGTAAAGATACTTGTAATTTATCGAGTTACGATACGTAAATTCGGACATTAAAAGCAAATCGGTGGTACGGTTGATAGCGGAGCAAGTTTAGAGAGATTCGTCTTAATGCAGAATTGGAATTTTGAATCGGATGAAATTTTCTAGTTAAATTATATGTAGAATTTACCTTCTAATTTTTTGGAAAATAATAGAGAAAAACGTGAATCGTGGTTTCTATTCGTTCGTTGAATTAAAATATAATAATTATAATGGGAAAAATTTCTTGATAAATAAAAATGGAGATTTATATCGATTTATCGCAATTAATTAATCTTAGCAACAATTGATAATATTTGTTTGTTTGCTAGATACGGATTAGATAATTGTAACGATTTACTTCGAGTAATTGAAATCTATAAGAATGTTATTATAACTTTTATTAAAAATGTATCTAATCAAGCAATTGATTCATTTTTCAAACATGAATACAATGTTTCGAAACTCTTTATTGTCATTAAAGTAGAAAAATAAAAGATACTTTGTTGAATTATTTAATTTTATAATGAAATAATGACAGAGTCAGATTTCTTTGTAACGGATAAGAACGTCTTTTTTGAATTATCGCGATTTCTATTATATTATATTCTATCTTAATCGCGTAGGAAGATATAAGATGAAAAGAGAAGATTAATTTAAGAAATTGAGATAACGAAACCAGATAATAATACGCAGCTTCTCAAGCTTGTTCCTTAAATGTTATACAACTTGACATTAAACGAACGGATTGAATCGTAATTGATTTATTAAGATATATTATAACATGTCATGCAGCGTGACTATCTGTGACTACGCGTGACTACACGTGTAAAAAAGTAAATAGTAAAAAAGGAGAATAAAAGAAATTGACAATACGAACGATATTTCGATCTTCGATTTCTTATTCAAAGTTTTTACACGTAATATGATAATATTTAGATTAACAAACGCGATTATCCTATACAATGATTCGAATCCATAAACTTTTTACTTTGCTTTTACAGAAAATTTTATTACAAACGAAATTATATGAATATAGAATATTTTTTCTTGTTCACGCCTTCTTTTGACAAATTTGTAGCAAAAAGATGTTACAAATAACGTGTTTTCCATCGATTGAGAAAAATTCACCCTTAATATTCATAGAATTTTTGCATTTAATTACAAATGAAAGAAAAATTTGTTAACTATGCAATTTCATAGGATTCTAGCATATCAAAGTAGTAACATAAATAACGCAAATATGAATTATATATAACAAATTGAATATAATTATAAATTGCAAATCTCGAGCATATGTATACATAGCAGACTTGATCGGATGCCATTGATTAATTCGTCGTGCATTATTCGTAACAATTACACAATATCAATTCGAAATCGAGGGAATAACATTACAATCGGCTTTTGACTATGAACTTTTAATTCTGTGTAAACCAACTATACTACATTATTTAGGAATCGAGATTTACGAGATTCGCATCGTTAATAATATCGCGTAACACGTTTATTAATAATTTAATATTTATTAAATCTTCATTGGCATGATCGAAGCATACATTTCATCGAGCTATTTTAGGCATCTTCGTGCCCCGAATATCAATTCATAGTTTACCCTTTAATTAACTCGTAGATTAATTCACAAAAGATTTAATCACAGACATTGAGACATTGAAAATAATGAGATTATTTCTATTTGAAGATCGAGATATTCAAATATAGTTGATGAATCGATGGAAAATCGGAGGAAATAAAAGTATTAGCTAATTTAGCCATCTGTTTCGATGCAAATCATTGTCATGTATTTTTCTTTTTTTTACTTTTCAAATATCTAATTACCATTTTTATATCATTCTTTAGTTAACCTTTATTAACCTAATTAAGTTAACCTAATTAACGAATAGTAAATTGAAAGTAACATTTCAAAGCAATAATCAAATTTATATTATAAAATCAGTGCTTTACAAACTTTGAGTCATTTTCAAATTCTAGATATTATTTCCAGATTTTAATTAATTCCAGTATCTCCATTCCTAATCTTTTTTAAAGTCTTAAAAATTCTGAAATTTTTTCGTATTTATTTCTTTATTATTTCTTTAAATTTGCATATAACATATTTATTCAATTCTATATTTTACAATTTCAAAATAAATTTTTTACCAAATTGAACCAATGGTTCCTGTGTCCATTACACGAATTTATCGCTGCTATACGTATAAATGGACAAATTTCATTGCTTCGTGACGTAAATGAGATTACATCGATCATGATAGAAAATTGGCATCATCGATCAAATCGTCTGCGACATATATCTGCTAAATTTCTGGATATTTCCGTGAAATTTATCGAGCTCGTTCTTTCGTAGTCCATTGATAATACTAATTTAATAGAATCTTTGCCGTATTATGAATTATTTTCTATGATTGGGGATGGGATACTCGGTCTCGTTAAAATAGTATTTTTTTCAAACGCGAGTGAGCTGAAAATAATCGTTTTTGATTTTCTGACTTCTTTCCTCTTCTTTCGCGCTTGAAATCGAAGAATTCCATCCATCTACTCTCGTTACAAAAAATAAAGTCGTGCACATCACTCGATATATATACGTAAGATTGTCAAAACTAATTATTAGCTTCTCATGATCCAACTATAACTCGATATCGACTATCTATGGTATTCTCGATATTTCTATAAGCTAGTTACACAAACTATCTAATTATTTCAATTATATTTATAAATGTAATGTTGTTGATAGATTCCTAGATTTGAGAGAAAAATTCGCGACAATCTCGAAAGTATTTTCCGCAAATGGATACTAGTAAAAGTAACTTTCTCTCTCAGCGAGTTTCCATTAAAATAATTCTTGAGATCGACTCTCTAAAAATTTTCACTCTCAAATGTATCTGCATCCTGAACCGCATACGCGAGAAAACCATTCGACGATGATTCTGCGCGAGAAAAACGAAAATAGCGAATGAAAGACTTTGAATAGCGATGCACGAGGGTAAAGAAAGAAAATTGGCGCGCCAAAAATAACGTGGTTTATCTTTAACGTGACTCGATCGGTGACAAGATCGAATCGCGTTAAATGAAAGAGATGAAATGAAAATGAAGAGGAAAAGTAGAAAAAATCGAGGAAGTAAAACTGCAGTATCGATTCGTCAATATCAATTCGAAATATACGAGCACGTGATTCGAATCACGTTTCTAATTTGAATCGATTCGTTTTTTCAAAGGGATGAATATGTATATATGTATTTGATTTGAGTGCGATAGGACGAAGTTTTTGAGCGTTTAAAGCGATTAAAGAACGAGGGTGAAGCTTTTGCTGCATTCTCGAAAAACGGTTAAATTAATTTTCTCGATGGAATTAAGTTTCTTGATGAAGTTACTGATGAACGATAATAAAGGACTCGAATGAAGCGTTTCACATCAACTTTGTTCGCGAAATTCGATTCGGATATTAAAGAAGAGAAGTTGTCAGAAATTTTCTAACGCTTTGAATCAATTTCGTTGGAAAAGTTCTATCTTCCAAGCTGAAATTGTGTTAATATATTCTATAATGGAATAACGGTGTTTCGTATAAATTTTAAAAAGTGTAAAGTCGAAACTGCTTTCGTGAATTTTAAAATTTACAACATATAAAATATATATGTTAAAAATTTTCTATTTCTTTAAATGTTTGACATAAATGTTTAATGGTTTTCCTTAAAGTCGTATGTATGTAAAATTCACTATTAAAGTTTACATATCGAAGAAAAACATGTTCTTAAAGAATCGGAAATGAGAAAGAAATCACTTAAAATTCCTTTTTATCTCTTTGATGGAATTACTGTATACTTGGTGAAAATGTTAGTAAAAAGTAATTTTAAATGAAATCCACTATTTTCAATCAATGTTAGAATTTATGTAATTTCAACAAGCCTTTCATCTAAATTACTAGAAAAAACGTAAAGAGAGATAGAAAGTTTAGAGTCATGCAATTTATTTTGCGGTTCCGTATATCAAATGATCGAGTTATCTCTACAATGTGGCTAATAAGGATGTAGTTTGTTCCGATTTTGATCTTCATCGGCCGAGATTCAATTCAAACGTACACCGGATGCAAATCGTTTGATATTCGTCATGTTCAAAGATACGAATCTCTCTTTGCATTATTGCTCGTACGTTAATATCTTCCACACGATTCTTTTTATATCCTCGTTTCAAACGTATTCTTCCTTGTCGATCGTTCGATCGATATAAAATTGATAAAATATTCGCCTCCTTTCCTAAAATTTACTTTGTTACTTATGTAACAAGATCAAATATTGCGAATATCTAAGGAAAAATCCAATAATTTCACGATGAATAATAAATCTTCGAATTGTATCTTTAAATTCTAGTGAAAACTTTGC